GGATCAGTCTTTCAGAGAAAGGATTTTCACACAATAGCTTTTTCCTGTACTACTTATATAACTTAATTAGAATGACTAATGCAAAATAATGCCAAAAGTGTATACAATGTCTGGTCCCTCCCATTTTATTGCAGTTTCCAGTCGCCTAGTACTTTGCAAGGATGATGATGACTAGATGAGTGACTAAATGGGAGTAATAACTAAACACCCAAAGATTTTGCTTACACACAGGGTTTCAGTTGTGGTAATACTTTATGAGAATAAAATGGAGAAAGGAAGTTTACTTGCTATATATGACCAAAACACCAAGTCACCCAAATTGAGCATATAACATACGTACAAGGCAGAAGTTGATGGTCTCAGCTAAAGATAAGCAATAGGAGACTAGTGGATGGATGAAAAGAAGAGGGATGAGAAACTTCAGGAATCTATGGCCTAGTACTTTCTCTTCCAGGTTGTCTGCCTCTCACAGGGAAGGATAGGATTATTTCATTCCTCTCTAGTCTCCAAGAAACCCCAGTTTTCTTCTTCACAACTGCTCATTCTCTTACCCCTCTAGTATCTGAATCTCATTTGAAAGCCTCCCAAAATCCCAAATCACACCAAAATTCCATTTTAGTTCTTCAAATTCTTTTCCAACTATTTACCCAATAAACTCCTTTACCAATATCAAGAGAACAATCAGAAAGGCTTAGAACCAGGGAATTCCTGAATTCAGACTTCAAAGGCAAAATGTTACATTTCTTAGCATTCAAGTTGGAACCCAGAATTCACAGAATTTTTGCTTAAAATGTCTTAAATAGTGTTATATACTTCAGAGTCCCAGCTAACACACTATCCTTTGTGATCAGAGATTTTCCAACTCTTTAGTATCAGGACTCTTTTACACTCTTAAATAATATATTATTGAGGAAACTAAAGAGTTATTTTTTTGGCAAATTTTTTGTTTTTTTTTTAATCCTCAGCCAAGGATATTTTTCCATTGATTTTTAAAAAGAGTGGAAGAGCCAAAACCGGTTTGGCTCAGTGGATAGAGTGTCAGCCTGCAGACTGAAAGGTCCCAGGTTCGATTCCAGTCAAGGGCATGTACATTGGTTGCGGGCACATCCCCTGTGGGAAGTGTGCAGGAGGCAGCTGGTCGATGTTTCTCTCTCATCGATATTTCTAGCTCTCTATCCCTCTCTCTTCCTCTCTGTAAAAAAATCAATAAAATACATATTAAAAAAAAAAAAAAGAGTGGAAGAGAGAGGAAAAGACAGAATATCGTTGTGAGAGAAACACGTAGATTGGTTACCTATAGCACGTCCCCCAACCAGGGCTCAGGCTGGGGAGGAGCTTGCAATCTAGGAGAATGCCCTTGACTAGAATTGAACCCGGGACTGGAGGCCAATGCTCTATCCACTGAGCCAAACCAACTAGGGCAGCTTTTGGAAATCTTTTAAATTAGAAATTAATGCTGAGAAACTTTCAAAACATTTTATCAATTTATTTAAAAATAGCAAGATGTATTACATTAATGTGAATAACATTTTAAAGAAAAATAATACTTATCCAAACCAAAATATATAAGTATATATTTAATGCAAGAATTGCAATGTTTTACATTTTGCAAATTAAAAAAAATGTATTAAGCTAAACACTTGATGATTTATAAATAAAGTCATGTCAACAGTTATAGAATTTACATGGCTAAACCTGATAACCTAAAGAAAAATTGAGCATATAACATATTTACAAGGCAGAAGTTGATGGTCTCAAAAAGTAATATAAGCCTCAAACCCAGGGTCAAGGTCAGAAAAGGACATGTTTTATGACTGAAGCCAATAAGAATCTACACTAAGGGTTTTATTTTATTTTATTTATATATATATATATATATTTTATTGATTTTTACAGAGAGGAAAGGAGAGGGATAGAGAGTTAGAAACATCAATGAGAGAGAATCATCGATCAGCTGCCTCTTGCACACCTCCTACTGGGGATGTGCCCGCAACCCAGGTACATGCCCTTGACCGGAATCAAACCTGGGACCTTTCAGTCCACAGGCTGACGCTCTATCCACTGAGCCAAACCGGTTTCGGCTACACTAAGGGTTTTAAAAGGAAAGGTCCTCACAGGTCAGGCAAATGACACAAATGAGAAAATTGACCAGCTAGAGACCTGAAGATGAAGAGCTCATGACCTTGTTGGAGGCAGCAAGCCCAATGTTGCCAGATTTCCAGGTTGTTAAAGAAAATATGCATTTATTTTTTTAAATCCTCACTCAAGGATATTTTTCCATTGATTCTTTCAGAGAGGGTGGAAGGGAGGGAAAATGGGGATAAAGAGAGAGAGAAACATCGAAGTCGATTTGTTGCTTCCCACACACGTCCCAACCCAGGTCAGAGATCAAAGAGCAAGTGAGGTATGTGCCCTTGATCAGGAATTGGACCTGAGATCCTTCAGTCCACAGGCCGACGCTCTACACTGGGCAATCGCCCAGGGCGAAATATCCATTTATAGTGTAAATCTGCATTTTTATATGAAACTCCTGATTTTTTAAGTACTGAAACTGCAAACAAACCACAACACATCTGTAGGTAAATGTAGCCTATGGCACCCCCAGTTTGCAACATCTAATTCTTTATATTACAAACAGAATTATCTAATCTTAGGAAATTCTTACCAAAGGAAATTTAATCTAAAGTATAATCCTAATATTAATCACTGGGAAAGAGCAAATTTAAAATATAATCTATGAAACAACACAAATAAAAAGTTGTCAAAATTAAAAAAGCAAAATAAAAGCTGTGTGCTATAGGAATAAACAATTCTGGGCAAGGATTTCTATTAATAGAAAATTGCATTTTATATGGTGGAGTCGATGGAGATGGCTTAACATTGTCTTGAGAAATACTCCACATAAAGTCCAACTCCCAGACCTGGCCCATGTGGCTCAGTTGGTTGAGCCTTGGCTATGCACCCAGAGGTTGCCAGAGCTCAAGCCTCAGTAAGGAGCAAGCAGGAGGCTGATGACCACTGTTTTCTCTCTCTCTCTCTCTCTCTCTCCCCCTCCCTCCCTTGCTCCCTCCCTCCCTGCCTCTCTCAAATCAATTTTTAAAATAAAAAATATATATATTTTTTAAAAATCAAACTCACAAACTACCCTTCCAACTTCTAACTGGGAGTAATTTGGGGCTTTTGAGAACAAGCACTCATAGAACAGCTGTAATTAATCAAGAACCATTTATTGTGCACCTTCTACTTGCAAAGCAATGAAAGAGACACAATGAATAAGAAAGTAATCTGGGCTTTCAAGCAGCCACAGTCTAAAAGGTAAGGGGGCTTAAAAACACATAGTTCCAGCATTAGAAAAGAAGGTGAGACAAACACAAAAGATGTCACCCAGGTATTGACATTCCTTAGTTAGTAGAAATAATACATGCTTTAAATTCAAAAGACAGATTATAGGAAATAAGAGCAGACTTGACAGAGGATGAGTCTGGTATTTTGAGTTCCAAAAACCAGTTTGAAGGCTATGTTATAATCTAAACATAGGGCACTTCTGATCCTAACATTAGGGTAATGTCAGAGAGAATAAAAAGGAATGTTGGGATAAAAATATTCATATGAAAAATCCACTCTGGTGGGTGTAGCTCAGTTAGTTGAGATACATCCTATCTAATAAAGAGGGGATGTGCTAATTGACCCTCATGCCATCACAAAGATGGAGGCATTCACAGCCAATAAGAAGGGAATATGCTAATTTACTGCCTTGTCCTCAAAGATGAAGACACCCAGAGCCAATAAGGAGGGAATATGCTAATTGACAGCCAAACCCTCAAAGATGGCAGCATCCACAGACACAAGATGGCAACACCCAGTCCCTTCATCCCTGCTGGGACAGCAGGTGTGTGGCAAGGCCAGGCCTGCCCCAGGGAGGCCCAGCCACTCCGCATGCCTGCCTTTGGGGTCCCCCAGTCCCCTCAGCCCCCCAGCTACCTAGGGTCAGCCTGAGGTGCAGGCAAACCTTGGATGGCAGCTGCCCAGCCACCCAGGGCTGCCCAAGGCTCAGGTAACCAGGGCTGGTTGAGGCTTGCACTGCTGGCAGTGGCAGCAGCAAAGGTATGATGGGGCATCACCTTCCCCTGATCGCTGGGTGACCTCCAGCTCTTGAGAGCTCCCAGACTGTGAGAGGGGGGGCAGGTCAGGCTGAGGGTCACCCCCTCCAGTGCATGAATTTTCATGCACCAGGCTTCTAGAGTGTGTGTGTGTGTGTGTGTGTGTGTGTGTGTGTGTGTGGCTATTATGAGTTTCCCTGGTTCATTTTCACAACTATATTTAAAAGTAGTCAAAGAAAGCCTAGCTGGAATGGCTCAGAGGCTGTGTTGACCTATGAACCAGGGGTCATGGTTCAATTCCTGGTTGGGGCACATACTAATATGCCTAGTTTGCAGGCTTGTTCCCCAGTGGGGGGTGGGTTTGGGGAGGGGGGTTGCAGGAGGTAGCCAATCAATAATACTCTCTCATCCTTGATATTTCTAAGTCTCTCGACTCTCCCTTCCTCTCTGAAATAAGAAATATATATTTTAAAAGTAGTAAATTATTTGTACACTCAATGGTCATGGTATTTTTTTAAGTGTAATCATCTAAAATTTCTGAGTACGTAGACCAGTGATCTCCCCACTTTACTTTGACATAATCAGAGTGGACAGGCCTCCCTAGAAAGAGCCTCTTTATGAAATTAAAGCATACCACATATTATTCTCCAGAGAAGTAAATTCTATTTGGGAAGAATTATTAGTCTCACTCAAGTCATTTCACAGCAAAGAGAACAAACAGGTCTATTGTATATACCATAATTACATTTGTGCATGACTTCCTTCAATTAAAATCTTTACCTAAATTAGTATCCGTATAGCAGTAGAGACATTTTAAATGTCATTATCTAATATGACCCAAAGATGCCTTCCACTAACAAGAAATTAGTCTAAAAAATACTTCATATATTTCTTCTTTTTTTCTGTTGATAGATAAGTAGGTCTTGAATTTATTTCGACGACAAGACTTGTTCTATCCACCTTTTAATTCAGAAGGCTAAAAGCAACTTTCATATATATATTTCAAAGCAATTTTTGGCATAATGCCCTCCCCTAAGTAGCAGTACTCAGTACATTTATAAGAAAAACGTATATGCATGGATCAACCTCACTTAATCCTGCATATATATATTCATTCATATATGTGTGTGTGTGTGTGTGTGTGTGTGAGAGAGAGAGAGAGAGTGTGTGTGAATATATACACATAAATGGATATACAGAAATTAGAGTACTCTGAACCTTCAATGAAGGATTGGGTCTGCTTTGATCATATTAGGCATTCACTAAATACCTAATTATCTTGACTAAACTGATGTCTAGTAAACCATCAGAAGGAAAAAAAAATATTTGTAATGACTTTACTAACAGTGCTAGTTGAGATCCACATCTCAGACATTCTTCTCACTAGAATGGCAGTTATAATCTTCACATTATCAATTAATCACTTTAAATATAACCAAATGGGAGGAGAGGAAAGGACCATATTATTACTATAAAACCTGAAAATCTCTGCATAACTATGCCATTTATGGCTTATTCTGTCCATGTTGGAGAATCTCTCTAACACATACCAAAGAACAGGCCATTTCACAAAATACTACAGAAATCAGTGTTCAGTTTCATTAAAATCTTGAAGTCTAACTCTCCAACTGCTTTCTACTTCAAGGAATTCAGGTCTTAAAATCTTACACTTGGTTGGGCAAGATAATAAGAAAATAATTGTAAGAGAAAGTAAGTTAATGTATTAATGGTTGTAGTGTTAACACGTGTGGGGGGGCACGTATGCATGCATGCACGCACACACACACACATACACACACACACACACACGATAGAAAACAAGGGTACAAATGAAAATGAATTAACTGACCAATGGATTGAAAAGTGCACTTTATAATAAGGGTTTATTTCAATATAAAGAAATAAGACTTCAGTTCTGGTGTTAAAGCATGATTACTTCTGAACAGGGCCACTGATCCAGAGTCTTCAAAAAGTTTAAAATACACTAAAATAATTATCACTGCCACTCTTTCTTGGTATATATTGAAAATAACAGATTAGAAGGGAAAATCTTTGTATTGTTTTGGTCTTATAAGAGAAAAAAAAAAAAAAAAAGGAGGAGGAACATGGCATTTGATGAAATACCAACTTTTACTTTTCTTCCCAGAATAAATTTGTAATATTATTTTTGGTTCCTTTCAACACAATTTGTTTTGTCTTTAAAAATCAGGTATTGGCCCTAGCTGAGTAGCTCAGCTGGTTAGTATCATGGTTTGGGTTCGAGCCCTGGTCAAGGCACATACAAGAATCAACCAAGGATTGCATAAATAAGTGGAACAAATCAATGTTTCTTTCTCTCTCCCTCTCTCTAAAAATCAATAAATTAATTAAAAAGTTTATTTTAAAAAGCAGGCATTATATTTTGACCAGTCAATCTTTTTTGAGTCACATATCTAATCTGATACTTTACTATAAAAAGGCATTCATATACACATATTGCACAATTTACAAATATATATATATATATATATATATATATATATATATATATATATATATATATATGAATGTAAAGAAATTTAAGAGAGCCCTAGCTGGTTTGGCTCAGTGAATAGAGTATCAGACTACAGACTGAAAAGTTCAGGGTTCAATTGCAGACAAGGGCACATGCCCGGGTTGTAGACTCGATAGGGGGTGTAGGGGGTGTCCAGGAGGCAGTCGATCAATGATTGTCTCTCTCCCTCTCCCTTCCTCTCTGAAACCAATAAATATATATTTAAAAAAAAAAACACAATAAAGAAATTCAAAGGAAAGGTATAAAATTCAGCTAAGTGGTTAACTATGGTAGAGAGGAAAGAGGTTAAAAATTAAAAGACAAGTCACAGAAGGCTTACATTATATTACCATGTTTCCCCGAAAATAAGACCTATTTACAGGTTTCCTTCTGAGTGAAATGTAAGGCATCCCCGGAAAATAAGGCCCCCCTAGGCTAAACATGAGAGATTTGGTCCATTGATCCTGAAAGAAATGGAGTCACAAGAAATTCACCAGGAAATTCAGGAATTGGATTGTTATGATGATGTTCCAGAAGACGATGACATGATTATCATTGAATAAATGAGTAAATTCTTGATACTGTAGGATTCACAGTTTGTCTGTTTTTTGTTGACAACTACAGTACTACCGTACCATATACAGGTAATAAATTTCCTTTATTTTCATTTAACAATAAATGTGTACCATATTCTTCTTCATGGAAAAATAAGACATCCCCTGAAAATAAGACCTAGCGCATCTTTGAGAGCAAAAATTAATATAAGACAATGTCTTATTTTCGGGGAAACAGGGTAGTAATGATTTATGAAAATGAGTGTTAGGTACATAAAAGTATTTTATTCTTTAAACCTTCGGGAATATTATAATGTTAAAATTTTGCTTGTTTTTTAAACACCTTATAAGAAATACTGTTCAATAGAAAAGAAAACTAGAACCTGGGGTTCCAAATCAGTAGCCTAGAATTGAATCTGGCCAAGACCTGTTTTTATTTTCCTTACAGTCAATAAGTTCTTTAAAAGCAAAAGAAATTGGAATCCTCATATAATAATAGTGAAAATATAAAATGTTGCAGCTGCTTTGGAAAACAAGCTGGCAGTTTCTCAAAATGGTAAGCAAAGGGTTACCATATGACACAGCGATTCCATTCCTAGATACCTACCTTAAGAAAAAAGAAAACGTGCACACAAAGACTTTTACACAAATGTTTACAGCAGCATTATTCCTAATAGTCAAAAAGTAGAAACCACACAAATATCCATCAACTGATGAAAATATAATACAATAAAACATTCCACCATAAAAATGAATGTACTGATAAATGCTACAACAAAGAGAAACCTCAAAAACACTATGCGAAGTAAAAGAAGCCAATTACAGAAGGCCACAAATTGTATAATTTAATTTATATGAAATGTCCAGAATAGGCAAATCTCAAATCTATAGACAGGAAGTAGATTAATAGGATGATTAAAATGTCATAAAATTAGATAATGGTGTTGGTTGCACAACTCGGTAAATACATGTCTATCAACCTGTGATTGCCAGCCAATTCAACACCAATAGGAATACCCAATTTAGGATGTGGTAAAAGAAGAGACTTTATTCCATGAAAACAGCTCAATAACATTGCATTTCAATGCACAGCTCCAATTGGACAGGGCAAGTCTCAGCCCTATTGGTTGAAATACATCCCAGGAACTCCTTTAAATAGGTTTGCTCATTTTTATTTTGACCCCTCTCTGGGTAGCAGTTCTGCTCTGCCTCTCCTCAGACTGGTCTGGTGTGCCAAGATCACTCCACTCCACTCTGCTGAGCTGAGACATCTTTGGTTTCAGCTCAAGGTAAGAAAAATGCAGTTGTAGGTGGAAAGGGAAAGTGTGCTCCCCTGAGCCAGAAGGGAGTTGACTTAGAGAAAGAAGTCCTTGGCCCTGGCCCCAGATTGATCTATTGTCATGCAAATGAGGGTTCCAAATCCTCAGTTTGATTTGTCCAAAAAACACTGCCCTGATAGGTCAAATGGAGCTGCTCTAATTCGTCAGCGAGGATGCTACTGAGGATATAGCCACACAGCTCCAATTGGACAGGGCAAGTCTCAGCCCTATTGGTTGAAATACATCCCAGGAACTCCTTTAAATAGGTTTGCTCATTTTTATTTTTATTTTTTTTAATTTTTTTTTCTATTTATTTTTTTTTATTTAAAAATAAAAATAAAAAATAAATAAAAAATAAATAGATTTGCTCAATGGGCAGAAACACAATTCAGGGAGGCAGGCAGTTTAGTGCAGTCTTCTCCCTAAAGCACAGCTTGCTGAGAGGCCCTGTTCAGCAATAGCTGCCAGGCTCTAGTTTTTGTTTTTGTTTTTAATTTGAGCCCAATTAGCACCAGGAGCCCTTCTCAACAGGTATTTTCTTTGTCAGGGTCAACACTAAAAAACCACTGAATGCCAACGCTCTTATCCACTGAGCCAAACTAGCTAGGGCCAGGATGACTTCTTAAGAGTTTTTCAGGAGTGAAGTATTTGAGTTCTAATAATTAGTTCCTGTGCCCAAAACAAAACATTTATGGTGTGTTTATTTTATGCCAGACACTGTGCTTGGTTTCATTTGGTTTGCGACTGCTTCTGTAAGTCCCATTATTACCTCATTTTACAAAGGAGAAATCGCAACTCTGAGTGCTTCAAGAACTGGCTTTTCTGTGACCCTGGCATACAACAGCCAGGACCTGGCCTACGTTCCACGTCTAATGTACTGTTTAATTTTTAAATTAACACTTTGTTTTGTAAATTTATTAAAAAAAAAAACCCACAGAACTGTTCACTTTAAAGGAATGAATTATATGGTATGTATATTATATCTTAATAAAGTTGTTTAATAATAAAAAAAAATCAAAGATCCATAGAGTTTATGAATTAGATTAATCCCTAAATGTGATTCTCAAATTGTGGTATAAGGACTCTTAGGGGTCCTCCAGAGCTTTTTAGGAATCTTGAGGTCAAAACTATTTTCATAACACTGAGACATTTGCCTTTTTCACTAATTGTACAAAAACAATGGTAGGTAAAACTTCTGACACCTTTGGCATGGTGACAACAAAATATATTAGTTTCTGGTAGTCACTGCATTCTTTATAACCACACACTGCACCAAAAAAATAAAATCCTTTTCACTTCAAAATGTCCTCAATAAGTAGTAAAAAGTACTTATTTTGTTCAATCTCAACATACATACTTTTTAATACGTGTGATGAAATGGGAAGTAGCTATGACTCACTTCTGCTACAGATCAAAACTTTAAAAATGTGATTATATGAGTTGTTATTTTTTTAAAATATATTTTATTGATTTTTCACAGAGAGAAAGAGAAAGGAATAGAGTAGGGGTGTCGAACTCAATCAGAGAAGGGGCCAAAATCTAAAATCCAGCCTAAATCGCGGGCCGAATGGTTTACTGAAATGTCATAAACTGTCATTGTGATGGAAACGCAGCGGAGTGCAGTGATGACAGCGCGTTGCGGGCCACATTGCAAGGCCTGGCGGGACGGATTTGGCCCGCGGGCCTTGTGTTTGACACATGTGGAATAGAGAGTTAGAAACATTGATGAGAGAGAAACGTGGATCAGATGCCTCTTGCACACCCCCTACTGGGGATGTGCCCGCAACCAAGGTACATTCCCTTGCCTGGAATCGAACCCAGGACCTTTCAGTCCACAGGCCAACGCTCTATCCACTGAGCCAAACCGGTCCCGGCTAGTTGTCGTTTTTCTTAATAGAATAGTATTTTTACTAGAAATGACTATTGGTTCCTATGGGAAAATGCATTCTCATTTCCAAACTCACTTATACATAACCTTTATAACAAAACTATTTCATAAAATGGTGGCTGCCACGACCCACGGAAATCACTCCTTACTCCCCTTTAAAACATCATTACCTTTTAGCCTGAGTTAGCAGGAAAGGCCTGTTTGGTGGGTAGAGGAAGGAATGAGGCAAAAGGCAGAAGATAAAACTTGGACTAAGAAACTATTTTGAAACTCGCCCTCTAGGCACTCACAAAGATACTTCTGGTCATGTGACCTCCTCCGGCCAATGAATTTCAAGCAAACAGAAGAGACACATACCACCTCTGGGCGGAAGCATTTAAGAGCCACTGCAGAGGGTGCGGGGTGGAGGAGGGTATAGGGGGGATAAATGGTGATGGATGGAGACTTGCTTTGGGGTGGTGAACACATAATACCATGTATAGGTGATGTATTATAGAACTGTGCACCTGAAACCTGTGAAATTTTGTTAACCAGTGTCACTCCAACAAATTCAATAAAAAGGAAACAATTTTTAAATAAAGTTAAAAAGATACTTTGTCCTATCATGGTGATAGGCTAACTAGGATTAACATTTTATTATAGAATAAAAATCTCATATGTTTTTAAGATATTCAATCAAAATAAGCTTAAGGATTTATTTTGTTACTTAAAAGGGCTGTGTTCTACATTAAGGTACTATTCTAACTAGTTACAAAAAGGACTCCAAATGCTATGAACCACACATTGAGAATTACACTTGTAAAAATCTACTAAGAATATAAAGCAACAAGCAGACTGTCAAATTACAGAGGGGAGGGGAGGGAGATCTGGGGGAGATAAGAGATCAACCGAAGGACTTGTATTCATGCATATAAGTACAACCAATGGACACAAAACTCTGGGGAGGGAGGGTATGTATGGGGGGGAGGGCAATGTTAAAATATATACAGAGATAATAATTTAATTTTAAAAGTCTACTAAGAATAGATAATTAATTAGTCTTTTAAAAGATGATTGTACATACATTGCTGACAAAGATTTGGAAAACCCTAAGGACCAATTTAGAAGACTAATTTCATGCAGGACAAAGAGGTAATTCCAAAAACACATTTAATTGTATTAGTAGTAATATAAGCAGTGTACCTGTACATGAGAAAATAAATAGATCAAATCTAGTAGTGTGTATTGAGTACTATATGTATAAGAAAAGGACTGATCTGGTATGTTTCAACATACACTAGAGTCTTCAAATTGCATGCTTCGGAATGAAAGAGTTCATCCTTAATCTTTTCAGCATTTGATAAAATGTCCCTTTGTTCTTATCAATATTCACAAGCAATGTTTTGATCTGGTTTCCCAAGTTAGTTGATACTAAAAAGAGAAGCCCAGATTGCAAGGATTAATATTTTATTTATTGTAAACATAAAATAAAGGATCCTATCTCTGTTACAGATGGCATTTTAATCCCTAAGAGCCTCATCAACTTTGCGCAAACTAGACAAATAGTTTCTGACTTTGCAAAACTGAAATATTTATAGAGCTAGGTAATTTCCTGATAGGCATGTATATTTAAGTATTGAATAGATTTTGGTTTAAAAAAATTTTACTTTCGCCAGGACTGGTTTGGCTCAGTGGATAGAGCGTCGGCCTGTGGACTGAAAGGTCCCGGGTTCGATTCCGGTCAAGGGCATGTACCTTGGTTGCAGGCACATCCCCAGTGGGGGATGTGCAAGAGGCAGCTGGTCGATGCTTCTCTTTCATTGACGTTTCTAACTCTCTGTCCCTCTCAATTCCTCTCTGTGTAAAATCAATAAAATATATTAAAAAAATTTTTTTTTACTTTCTTTAGGATGTTATATTCTAGCTCATTAAACATATCACAGACTACAACTTAATTACAGGCCATAATAACAATAACAATAATACCCAAATAATAGCTAATATTTATATATGGTTTATTATAAATAAATAGGCATTGCAATTTTACATGTTTTAACCAGTTTAATCTTCATAACAATCTATAGGCAGGTACTATTATAATCTCTACAGATGAATAAACTGAGGTGGAGGACAATTAAGCGACTTGCTCCATATCACACGTTAAGTAGTGTGGCTGAGATTCAACCCAGGATGTCTGGCGCCAATGTCAGCATTTTTTTTTTTCTTAATTAGTTTTTAGAGAGAGGAAGGGGAAGGTGGGGGGGGGGAGAGAGAGAGAGAGAGGGAGAGAGAGAGAGATATGAGAGAAACATGGTTGGGCTGCCTCCCACATTAGCCCCAATTGAGGATTGAACCCGTAACCCAGTTATGTGCCTTAATCAGGAATCAAACCTGCCACCAAAGTCAGCATCTTAGTCTCATTAGCCTTGTACTATCAATTTTCTGAATTTTAAGCATTTATTTTTCAAAATAGTTTTGAAACTCCATATATATCATAGCAAAAATGTTTCCCAAATCCCTATGATTAAGCTGTTAAACTGGAAATGGTTTACCTACTCATTTAACCATGACTTCTATTAGTTTTAATAAGGGTAAACATCAAATTATGAAACTTTCAGAAGTTAATGCAAAATAAATCAGAACAATATATAAACCATTATTTTTTAATGTATTTATGTTCACTTTCAAAGTATACTAACTTTAGCTATTAAGTATACATATAAAATTAGTGACAGTGTTAGATTAATAGAATTGGATGCTATTCAAATGCAAGAATATTGTAGCTTTTAAAGGAAAAATATTAATTTGAACCTTTCTGACTAGTGACTCAAACTGACTCAAATCACTTACATGTTAATTTCAAATCCCTGGTTCTCTAGCTACAAGTACAGCCCCTATAAAACTATAACTTGTTTTATGGGTTATCAGTCATTCTATAAACTAAACTATAACTAATTCAATATCATATAAAATAGCTTTTAATTTGTGCTTTCCTATTTTTCCTCAACTTAATAAAGTGAATATATACCACTGAACTGCTACATTCCAAAATTTTTACACTTATTTCACCTTGATATTACATTAAAAGAAAAAGCACTTCTCATGAGGGGGTCTTTTGTCATACTAGTAATGTTCTTGTTTTATATCTTGGTGTTTGTTTATCAGAGTATGTTTAACGAAAATCCATCAGGTTATATGCACTTTTCTATATGTATATTTGATACTTCAATAAAAGTTGTTTTTTTAAAAAGCTGTGCTTCTTAACACTACTTCAATAAAAACCATTACAGTCTGGCTGGCATGGCTCAGTGGTTGAGCATTGACCTATGAACCAGGTCACGGTTTGATTTCCAATCAGGGCACCTGCCTAGGTTGTAGGCTCAACCCCCAGTCTGGGGTGAGCAAGAGGCAGCAAATTGATTATTCTCTCTCATCACTGATGTTTCTATCTCTCTCTCCCTTTCCCTTCCTCTCTGAAGTCAATAAGAATATATACTTAAAAGCGAAAAACAAAAATCATTACATATCAACTTTATTAAAAACTATCATTAAATTTTTCATCAGATGGTACTCTACAGCACTGAGTAATACTCAATTTGTTTTTTCATACAGGGGGAAAAAAAGAACCATGCAAGATTTTCTATAGAACCAAAAAGTATTATTTAATTCTTGCACAAATCTCTGAGATTTAAAGATCTTACAGGGAAAGAAACCTTTTTTTTTTTTTAAACTTCTGTGTGCATATTTTATTCTAACAACAACCTTATCAGGTAGATACTATGACACCCTGTGGCAGATTGTTTTCCAAAGACAGCCACAATAAGATGTATCCCAGGCCAACTGTTTTTTTATGTGACAATGAAGTTCCTACATTGAAAGATGAGTCTGTTTCCTCTTCTTCAAACCATGCAATTTTATACCAGCCTTGAGCAAGAAAATGTGACAAATCTCACTCATTTATGGAATATAATGAACAACATAAACTGATGAACAAAAACAGATCCAGAGACAGAGAAGCAGTGATCAGACTGTCAAACCTCAAAGGGAAGATAGGAGAGGGTGGGGGTAAGGGAGAGAAATCAACCAAAGGACTTGTATGCATGCATATAAACCCAACCAATGGACACAGTCAACAGGGGAGTGAGGGCATGGGGGGAGCGGGAGAGGGGAGGGAGGTTAATTGGGGGATAAGAACACATATGTATTACCTTAATCAATGAAGAAGTTAAAGATTGGGAAAAAAAGAAAAAGAAAATGTGACAGAGGTGACGCTTCATGACTCTCAAGGTTGGGACACAGAAAACAATACTGTTTCCATCTGGCTTTCTCACTCGAGATGCCTGCTCTTGGAATCTGCCTCCAGATTGTGAGTAGGTGCTCTGCCCACTGCCCCAGTGACATCTCCAGCCAACAAGCAGCATCAATTACCAGACTTGGGTAACCGAACCTCGTCCAAATGATTCCAGCCCCCAGCCTGCTAGTCTTCCAGCTAAGCCCCAGGCAGCAAGGGGCACAGACAATTCCCACTGTGCCCTGTCTGAACGCCTGTCCCACAGAAATCACGAGATATTAAATGATTATGGTTGTTTACCACTAGGCCTCTGAGGCAATTGGTTATACAGCAAGGTACACAGGTAGATAAACATGCTAGCAATTGGCAAAACCAGAATTGGAATCCAAGTAAGTCTATGTATAAAGCCCAAACTCTTTCTACCATAAGTTAATGCCAAGTTTGTTCAGAGGTACCCACATTTCCAAATAAAACAACAGTCTACAGATTAAAAAGTCTAACAGCAATAAACAGCCCCCCAAAATTAATAATTTCAATGAATACTCGGGACAAAATAAGTCATTCAATTGGCAGGCTCAAAATCCCAATATCATTTCTGACACATCAATATCCTTCACACTCTAATAATAGCATATCTGATAGTATCCACACTCTAGAGATGCTGAAGAAATATCTCTATATCAGTAACAACAAAGCTGACCATTTGTAGGACACTTTTACAAAGAACTTTAACAATCACTAATTTGATCTTCAGAAAACCTCTCTGAGACAGGTAAGGCAGGCATCACTCAGAAAAGTTTACAGTAACTAGCTACAATAACTTAGTTAAGTAAGGATTCGACTTCAGATTTTCTGACTCCAGTGCTTTTGTCAACTCAATTAAATTCAGCTCCAAGGAACATTTATGGTGTATGTATCTCCACATATAACATTTTTTCTACAAATATTTATAAAGTAGCTACTTTGTGAAAAGCATCATGGTGGGCACTATCTCTCTAACTTGTGCTGTCCACTCCCAGGGTCAGGACAAAAACACTGCTGATATAGCTAATTGCTGTAAAAAGCCAGTCTTTTTTCCACTTTGACCCATTCTCTACAATGCCAACTGACACCTTTTCCTAATCCACCTCCTTAATCACATTATTCAAAAAACTGTTAAAGGTAACATGTTGCCGAAACTGGTTTGGCTCAGTGGTAGAGCGTCGGTCTGCAGACTGAAAGGTCCCAGGTTCGATTCTGGTCTAAGGCATGTACCTTGGTTGCAGGCACATCCCCAGTAGGGGGTGTGCAAGAGGCAGCTGATCAATGACTCTCATCGATGTTTCTAACTCTCTCTATCTTCCCTCTATCTTCCTCTCTGTAAAATATCAATAAAATATATTTTTTTAAAAATCTTAGCCCAAGAAATATAGGCCAAATTTCCTGATCTACTTTCAAATCTTCTATAATCTGATCCCAGTTTCTTTTAATTAATTTCCCTGTATTTACTGAGAAAAAAAAAATCTCTTCCTTCTTTCCCAGGTTTACTTTCTTTATATCTTCTTGCCTTCCTTCTTGTTTACTGAATGATCCAAGTGCAAAAGCAATACTCAAGTATTCTTCCTCAACCCCTGACAGAGTCCCTTCCCTCCAAGACCTTACCATCTACTGGAGACCTACAATGAACAATCCAAAACAATATATCATCATGAAATTAGGTAGTAGAGATTACAGCTTTCAGAAATTTAACAAAGAATCACTGAGTGTGCTCTCCCTCCCAGGAGCACATCTATGCTCCTTCCCCCTCCCCCACCCCCTTCCTCAACAGGCTCCATGAGACTTGCAACCAGGGAGGCAGTGGGCAGCAGCCGCTCATCCTGGGCTAACACCCTCAACCTGTCTCCAATGCCCCCCTTTTCGTTGGCTCTCCAATGAGTTGACAGCAGCCACCTTGGCTCATTTCTTTCCTATAACATTTCTAGAGGCCAAAGCAACCCCGCCTGGATTCTTCTGTTGCTTCTTCTATCCTAAGCCCTTCCTGATTTCACTGTACCCTGCTTTAATAAACATACTAAAAATAAATAAATAAATAAATAAATAAATAAATAAATAAATAAATAAGGGCTGCAGGAATGCCTCAGGAAAATGCAGCACTTGAAATGGGCTGATGGACACACCGGATTCAAACTGGCAGAAGTAAAAGCAACCTAAACTGAGGAACAACCTAAAAGCCTTCCCTTCTACTCCACTTGTTCCCTTTTACATCTTACTTAATCCTCCAGCCAGCACCATCTCCTTCAAGAAGAAGCCTTCCTCAGTTACATCACCATCTAATCTAAGCTCTCTTCTCTGAGCTTCTATTATAATCTAAAAAACTCATTCTGGTACTTAGTCATTGCATGTTATAGGTCTCATCTCTTCAACCTGACAGCAATATGTCTCTACACAGTAAGCATTTGATATTTGTTAAGATGAACTCAATTCAATAGCCATTGTTGCTTTGAGTCATTTAAAAACCCATTAATCATAACACTGTTTCTTAACTTACCGGGCATCTCCTTTGGAAAGATTAGTATTCACAGGATTAAGAATAACCTTGTTTGCATCTACATCCACCACACATTTGGTATGCAAGTCAATTTCTGTAAATGAGGAGGGGGAAAGGAAAAATAGTCATTTTTAAAGTAATTTATTTCAGAAAAAGCATTTGACAAAAATTCAACACTCTTTCACGATAAACATATACAACAAACTAGGAATAGAAGTAAACTTCTTCAACCACATAAAGGTGATTTATAAAGAACTAGCGCTAACATTGTACTTAATGGTGAAAGACTGCCTGGCCTACCCTCTAACATCAGGAATAAGACACTGATGTCTACTATTGCAGCTTCTATTCAATATTGTACTAGAGGTTCTAGTCAGGGCAGTTAGACAAGAAAAACAAATAAAAGGCACCCAGATTGGAAAGAAGTAAAACTATCTCTACTTGCAGATGATATGATCTTGTTTACAGAAAATCCTAAGAAATGTAGTAGAAGACTACTGGAATAAACAAGTTCTGAAAATTGTAGGATAAAAATCATTATACAAAAATCAGTAGCGTTTCATATACACCAGCAATGAAAATTTCAAAAATAAAGTTAAGAAAACAATTTCATTTATACCACCATAAAAAAAGATTTAAATACTAAAGGATAAATTGAAAAGAAGTGCACGACATGTACACTGAAAATTTTCAAACACTGTTTCAAAGAAATTAAACATTTAAACAATTAGAAAGACATTTATGTTCATGAATTGACAGAATTAATACCATGAAGATGGTAATACTTCCCAAAGAGGTCTGCAAGTTTCAAGGCAATTCCTATAAAAATTTCAGCTAGCTTTTTTTTTTTCCTATTTCAAAAATTAACAAGCTGATCCTAAAATCTGTATGAAAATGCATGAGATCCAGAATAGCCAAAACAATCTTAAAAAAGAAAAACAAAGTAGAAAGGCTATATTCAACAATTTCAAACTTACTATAGACTACAGTAATCAAGACAGTGTGGTACTAACATAAGAATAGAAGGATAAACAGATAAATGGAACAGAGAATCCAGAAATATACTTTCATATTTACAGCCAAATGATTTTGTCAAGACCATTCAATGGAGAAAATATAGTCTCTTCAGCAAATGGTGCTGGGAAACTGGATATCCACATGCAAAAGAATGAAGACAGACCCCTTCCTAATTCATACACAAAGATTAACTCCAACAGATCATAGACATAAATGTAAGAGCCGAAACTATAAAACCCTTTGAAGAAAACATAAGGGTAATTCCACATGACTTGGGGTTACATGACAGTTAAGATGCCAAAAGCACAAGCAACAAAAGAAAAAAACAGATAAATTGAACCACATCAAAATGAAAAACCTTTGTGTTTTTACCATCAAGAGAGTAAAAAGACAACCCACAGAATCAAGAAACTATCTGTCAACCATATACCTAATAAGGAACTTGCATCAGACAATAGAAAGAACTCTTACAACTCAATAATAATAAAAATAACCCAATTTTTAAATAGGCAAAGGATCTGAATAGACTTCTCTCCAAAAAAAGATAGAAAAATGGGCAATAAGCACAGGTGCATCATTAGACAGTGGGGAAATGCAAATCAAAACCACAATGAGATACCAGTTCACACCACTAGCTTAACTATCAAAAGACAGATAATAAATAACAAGGACTTGGGGAAAATTGAATCTTCAAACAGTACTAATGGGAATATAAAATAATACAGTCACTTTGGAAAATAGCCTAGCAGTTCCTAAAAACTTAAACATAGAATTAGCATATGACCCAGCAATTCCCAATTCTAGATATATACCCAAAAGAAATGACAGCCTTGTCCAAGAGTCTGTACATGAATGTTCATAGCAGTATTATACAGCTATTTATAATAGGCAAAAAGTGGAAACAACCCAACTGTCCATCAACTAATGAATGGATAAAGGTGATATATCCACAAAATGGAACATTATCTGGCAATTAAAAGAAGTACAGAGACATACCACAACATGGATGAAGTTTGTGCTAAGTAAACTAAAAGACGCCAGTCACAAGAGACCACATATTGTATTATTCCATTTATTTCAAATATCCAGAATAGGCAAATAAAGACAGCAAATAGATTAGTGATTGCTTAGATGGGGAGAGTGACTGCTAGTAAATACAATTTTCTATTGGTGCTAATAAATACATGCTAAAACTGATTATGTTGACAGTTGCACAACTAGCATGAGCATAATAAAAAACTTACTGCATAGATGAATTGTGTGATATGTAAATTATACCTTACTAAAACTTTTTTTTTTTTTTTACATATAGGCTATGTTTATGGTGTCATTACTTTTATATTCTTATACTTTTCTGACCCAAAGTATAAAACTTTCTGTCTGCCTTATCTCCACTACCCAAAAATATGATCTAAGAAAGGAACTGTACTACATTAGCATCATTTTATAGTTCCCAAAGAACCTTGGCCAAATATCACATTATCATTATAACTTTAAAATATTTCCACTGCCAGGAAATGTCATTTTTTTCTCTCTTTTTTTTTTTTAACTTATATAATTGAGACAAATGGAAAAAAAAAATCCCTCTCTGTGCCTGCCAAGTTATTTTGTATCACTTATTTTTCATTAGTTCTCAAAGATATAACTTAAAAGCACAAAAAATTTAGTGGTCTTTCTTTTTTTTTCTTTTTTTTCTTTTTTTTTTCTTAGCCAAAACATTTTCAGGCAAAGAGAAATGAAAGGAAAATATCAGAGCTATGTTTTACCTAGGTGTAGAAAACTAACCACCAAAAAGGCATATGTTCCACCATAGTCAATTAGCATTAATGCTTTGTGTTAAATTCACTCTAGGCTATCCAGAAATGTGGCAAGAAAGTCTTGGCCACACTGCAAAAACTTTTCAAACATGCAATTTCACTTACTCCTTTCCCTTAGGCCCAGAGCTCAACAAAGCTTGCTATGATCATACTTTGTTAATACTAGTCTTTAATACATATACATATACATTTAACAGAGTATTATTGAACTCTTAAAAAGGAACAAATGTATTGGCTGAGCATACTGTATTGGCTGGCCCCTTACAGTCAAATCTGTATTATAACAAATGCATTACCAACTCTCCAGAAACTGTACTGTGACTCAGAATCTACTATCTCACCCCTTACCACAAGGTTGGTTATTAGTTTCTTGCAAGATCGTTTGGTCTGAGCAAAGGAGCTACATGTATAGTTCTGTATGCATAAGTATATACCTAGAATGAATGCCTGAAAAACTATAAATAAAATAATTCCTCCCCCACCACACACACACACACACACACACACACATACACAAATAGTGTTTTGCTTTCATTTCCAATTATCTTGAATTGAGAAGGGATCCAAATTTTTTTCTGCAATATTTGTATGCTTTTCTCTATCCTCTTCACAGCTCTTTTCTTCTCCCCTTCATGACATTTGATATAATCAATAATTTATAAGTATTAAATGGCATGATAAAGGAACCAATCAATCCCTGGAAAATCCTGTATAACACAAAGAATTGCCTACCGTATTTTCCGGCGTATAAGACAACTCCCTAATTTTACAGTTAAAACATAGGTTTAGGCCTATATTTGCTGTATAAGACTACCCCCCACTTCCGAGGCAACACCAGTTCTTTTTTTAATAGACCGCCTCTCTGACTCTGGCCAATCTGAGCAGGCTTTTTACTAGAAAACAAGTCAGAGAGGCGGTCTATTAAAAAAAGAACTGGTGCCGGGACCGGTTTGGCTCAATGGATAGAGCGTTGGCTTGGGGACTGAAGGGCCCCGGGTTCGATTCCGGTCAAGGGCATGTACCTTGTTGGGGACATAACCCCAGTGGGGGGTGTGCAAGAGGAAGCTGATCGATGACTCTCTCTCATTGATGTTTCTAACTCTCTCTCTCTCTCTCTTCATCTTTGTACAAAAATCAATAAAATATATTAAAAAAGAACTGGTGTTGCCTTGGAAGTGGGGGGTAGTCTTATACAGCGAATATAGGCCTAAACCTATGTTTTAACTGTAAAATTAGGGGGTCGTCTTATACGCCAGAAAATACAGTAATAACTAATATATCCAACCTAAAATCATTTTGTCCTCAAGAGTACAATACTTACAAATATCCTTACATCTAACTTACATCAAAGGTAGCCTTTAAAAGGTAAACAACTATCTTCACTTCTTTATTAGCTCAGTTTTCAAACAAAATTCTCACCCCAGCTCTGTTGACTGATACATAAATATTAAGAGAAGGCTTTTCACAAGACTGTTTAGAATATAGGTGGAATGTCTAGGACACAAACACCCAAGCTAAAAAATCAGTGAGATTTGAAGAGAGTTTAAGGGTCAGGTATATGACAGGATCCTATATAATAAAAGGCTAATATGCAAATTGACCAAATGGCAGAACCACTGGTAGCTATGATGTGCACTGACCACCAAGGGGCAGATGCTCAACACAGGAGTGCCTCTCAGCCCGAAGCTGGGCTCACAGCTGGCGAGCACAATGGCAGTGGCAGGAGTTTCTCCCATCTCTGCAGCAGTGATAAGGGTGTCCGACTAACGACTTAGGCCCACTCCCCAGAGAGCGGGCCTAAGCAGTCCGTTGGACATGCTCTGAGGGCTCTCAGACTGGGAGAGGGTGCAGGCCAGGCTGAGAAACCCCCCCCCTCCCAGGGGTGCATTAATTTCGTGCACCAGGCCTCTAGTTTTAATATAAAATGCTATAGCGAGAGTCCCATCAAATGCTACTAGTTGGCTGAATTAAATTATATGACTATAAGGTTCTCAGTATGACATTTTCTCCATGAAAAACTTCTTCCTCACTGGGCTGGTGTGGTTCAGTGGTTGAGCATCGACCTATGAACCAGAGGGTCACAGTTTGATTCCAGTCAGGGCATTGCCTAGGTTGCTGGCTTTATCCCTTGTGTGGGGCATGTAGCCATTCAATGATTCTCTCTGATCACTGATGTTTCTCTCTCTCCCTCTCTCTTCCTCTCTGAAATTAATAAAAACATACATTCTTAAAAACTTTCGCTCTATATGGCTTAGAAAGC